AGTGGAGCCAGGGGACTTCCAGAAGAAAAAGGACTTCAAGAAGGCCAGAAGGGCCAGTGGAGCCAGGGGACTTCCACAAGAGAAGGGACTTCTTAAAGAGCAGCGTGATCATCAGAACCAGAAATTGAGAGATTTCCAGACCTACAAGATCCAGAACTCCAAGCCTAAAAGATCTAGAAACCCTGAGACCCACAATGGCATGGATGGACCTGATGGAACTTCACAAGCTGCAACAACAGCTAGAAGGACTTTTCCAAATAGAAATGAATGGACAATGGAAAAGAGAAACAAAGAAATCAAACTATTTTCAGAGACTGTGGACAGCAGTCTTATCACCGAGATGGAAAACAAGAAATGAGGAATGCACAAAGACAGACTCTATGCGCATGACACCAGAAAGAGACAAACATATGCATACTCGAATGCAGAACATTGTCTACTGAATGCACACATGTGGACAAAGGACGTCCACACTGAGAGAATGGACACAATGCAAGTGACAAAACTCCATTTGGGTTTATATACCAGTGGAGCCAGGGGACTTCCACAAGAGAAGGGACTTCTTAAAGAGCAGCGTGATCATCAGAACCAGAAATTGAGATATTTCCAGACCTACAAGATCCAGAACTCCAAGCTTAAAGGATCTAGAAACCGTGAGATCCACAATGGCATGGATGGACCTGATGGAACTTCACAAGCTGCAACAACAGCTAGAAGGACTTTTCCAAATAGAAATGAATGGACAATGGAAAAGAGAAACAAATAAATCAAACTATTTTCAGAGACTGTGGACAGCAGTCTTATCACCGAGATGGAAAACAAGAAATGAGAAATGCACAAAGACAGACTCTATGCACATGACACCAGAAAGAGACAAACATATGCATACTCGAATGCAGAACATTGTCTACTGAATGCACACATGTGGACAAAGGACGTCCACACTGAGAGAATGGACACAATGCAAGTGACAAAACTCCATTTGGGTTTATCTGTGAGTGTGATGCTTTGAAAAAACAACCATTGTGTGGAGCACCCCAGAATAACTATGAATCGTGTGAAATCAATTTAACTCATCTTCACAATAATTTTACTAGTGTCAGACAAGAGAATTGTATTACAACAACTCTAAATCACTTCTCCATTTTTATTGATAATAACCAGACATTCTGTCCAATTAATGATACTTCATTTTGTATGACCCCTGAATCAACCTGGTCTATAGGAAATTATCATTTTCCATATGTAAACACCACCCAACAGGCAATGTCAGTAAAACCAGAGGAACAATTGGGCTTTGTGGAAGAAATTCCTGAATTTGATTTTGAGTTACCAAAACTGGATGATATGCTGATGTCATTAATGCAAAGGAAAGATAACCACATTGTTAAAGCTCAACAAGGTCTTGATGAGAAGGATAAGGCTTTAACTAAACAAATGCATGATGGAGATTTAGTCATTGCATACTCTGGTTTGATTTGGGATGTAACTTTTAAAACTGCCGTTTGTGTTTGTATCTTTCTAATTATGTGCCAATGCATGATGCTATGTTGTATGTGTTCTATGGTGAAACGTCAAATTGCAGATAGTTCAATGATCAATGTTGGACGTTCCCGTTGGTTGTGATGGTTCTCGATTACCTCTTCCATACCCTAGAAACATTTTCCAAATTTGAACAAACCTTGTGATAATAAAAAAACCCTGTGATAATTTTGCTCAAATGAAACAGAGCTGTAACCAGTGTGCATGAGGTGTCGACCCAATGACGGGTAAGAATCTCTGATGGCCATAAATAGGGATCGACCTAAGCCAGGGCTTCACCGCCACTGGGCACCTAGAGCTTAATTATCATAGAGATAATTCTTTCCGATCTCAATAATATGTAAATAGTATCTCCTGAACGTTACTTCGTCAATCGTCACCTATAGCGTGGGAGCGGCAGTAGGCCATCAAGAACCATCTGCTGACCAAAAGGGTATTTGAATATAATTGCTAGGGATTCTAGATAATCCTATCACCTTAAACATTTGGTTGTTTCCACCTGAAAGACTACCAAAGATGTGGGAACGGAAGGCTATCACTGTCATTGTTATCCGCAATTTACATTTAAGACGAAACTTCATTAACATTTCTAGCGGGAAGATGAACGTAATGGTGTATAAAATGTTTGAGCTTAGGATGTTCGTGGTTCATTCTGACTCCGTTGAACCCAAGGTACTACATGTACTTTGTCACTGCTATGCTGCAATAAACATCTTCATCGTCTTCATCATTTTTCTTACACCATTTAAGGGTGTAATGGCGTCTTGTAGACGGTGCTCTAGCCTCCAAAATGGTGTCGCTCACTCTCGCTGGGAGCTGCATAAGCTCCCGTCGAGGCTCCATACACAAAGGCTCCACAGCTCTGACCGGGGATGCCAAATTATGCCCTTCGCCTGTGAGAGAAGGTCCTTCCTTAATTATTGGCCATGGGGCTGCTGCTGACAGCTGCAATAACTCCCGGAAGTCAGTCCCAACTACACACCTGGTTGAAACAGGCGAGGAGTTGTCCAGGGGGACAACTTCTGAAAAACCTTGAGAGGACGTGAAGTCCCTAGTTTGAGATATGCCACCAGTCGCTGAATAGTCAAGGGACCATTTCGACATAATCCATGCCCGCATCTGGGCAGAGTCTATAATCGTCCCCAGAAAGACGGTTCGCTGTCTGGGTGACAAATTACTCTTTTGCTGGATAATTCTCAACCTGAGGCGCTCTAGGTGGCTGAGTAACAGCTCCCTGTGAGTGACTAATTGTCATTCTGATCTGGCTAGAACCAGACAATTGTCGAGGTAGTTCAAAATACGGATTCCCATCTGTCTCAGAGGGGAAAGTGCCACGTCTATGCACTGTGTAAAAGTGCGAGGGGCCAGAGACAGTCCAAAGTGGTACTGCATATTGATAGGCCACCCCCTTGAACGCGAATCTCAAGAACAGACTGTGATGGAGGGCTATGTGGATGTGAAAGTATGCATTTTTGAGATTCACTGTCAGAAACCAGTCCTCGGAGGATCTGTTTTTAAAGGTAATGTATGGGACATGTACATTTTCTTATAGTTAATCCACAGGTTTTGACGCATATCTGTCTTGTTGAACTGGCTTACTCCCGACACGGGAGTCCATGAAGTCCTTTTGTTTCTTCGTTTATTTTCAACATCAAACGTTTAACACTTCTTACAGTCTTCTCACATAAATCCACTTGGTTTACAACAACTTATTTGCTGTATCTTGAAGAATTATGATTTCAGTTACGATTGTTTTTGATTACGGTCAAAAGCTTGTGTTCTCCAAAATTTGCGCAGCTTATTAACTTCTCACGTGCGATCAAAAATAATGCACGTGAACTACAAATTACGTCACTAGACATGCGCAGTAAAAAAACTAATATGAACTGAAAAATATATACAACATAATATAACCAGAACACACAACATAACACAAATAATTGTGATACTCAATTTAAATAATGAATTATGCAATATGGCTCCTACAGGTAACATCTTGAACGGCCGTCTCATAAGTGAGCGATTCAGATGTCTGAGATCTAGAATAGGTCTGAGCCCTGCCATCTTTCTTGGGAACGAGGAGGTAGCAGCTAAAGAAGCCCGACTCACTGTTCGCTAAAGATACTGTTTCCACTGCACCTTTTGCAAGCAGTGTTTGTACTTCGGACTGGAGAACATGTGCTTCGTTGTCCCATACCAAAGTCTGAATAACACCTCTGGAACGAGGCAGCCTGCGAGCGAACTGGAGTGAGTAATCCGTTTTATTGTATTTAGAACCCAACTTGAAACACCTGGAATGGCTGCCCAAGCCTTGAACCGGTTGGTAATCTTGCGAATGTAAGTTCGCCATAAGGGGCGGGGAACTTACGTTCATGAATGTGAATGTGAAGAGAGTAGAATTGCAATTTTGAGTATGTGGGTCCACTATCACAGCGGTAAAATATTTGGGTATGTGCTGAACTTGCAGAATGTGCCCCGCTTGAAACAGGTCACCATTGCACGGAATATTGGCCTGGAACACCAAAAACCGATCCTGCCTGACCGGCCGCAGCATAAACCCTGTTGGCCAAGGGTTAGGGTTAGAAGGGTGCGCTGCATGGGCTTTCAGACCTCGGGCAGATGGTGGGCACAGATGAGCAGCGACCGCTTCTTCCAGAGGGGTGAGCTTGCTGTATCCTCTGTCTTCAGTGCTGTCAACGGTGGTCAGAGCGGCTGCAGTGGAGGAGCTAATATGGGCCGAATAGGCGGCGCGCCACGTTTTGGCACGCCACGTGAACTGCAGGCTAGGACGAAGCGGACCATTGGCGAGATTACTGCTGACGATGTCCCTGAAAGAACTACTCATCCAAAAGGCCATGGGCAGGCCCTTCTGGAGCTGACCACTCCAAGCCGAGGTCCTCCACCGCCTTCGAGAGCACACGGATCAGCCCGCTGTCCAGTCTCGGCCGTGTTGGCTGTGAAGGAGGAAGGACTTCAGGCTCCTGGCCGGAAGCTTCCCACTCTTCAGCATCTAACGTCGTCAAGGACTTCGAGTCGTCGATGCCGATCTCTTCCTCGGAAGCGCCGAAGGAAATCTAGCCACTCGCAGCAGAGGAGGGGTGCTGATCTTCCTGTGTGAAGCACACCAGTGAGATGAGGCGATGCGGGGAAGGAGGGGCGCTGAACCGATGTTACACTGCTCAAATCTGCTGTCAGAGCCCCGCTCTTCTCCACTTGTCCTCTTCATCCCGTCTGCCATGGCATGCCGCCATTTTGGAGAGTATCACGATGCATACTCTCCTTTGAATGTAAACAAGCCACAGCGCATGCGTGTTCAACGTAAGCAGCAGCACGCACATTGATTGATTTTCTCCACAGTGTAGTTTAATGAACCGTGTGCACTAGATCATCTTGGTAAACAAAGGCTGAAAATAAACATTTATATTAATGCAGTGTTGTTGATTTCTCTTCACATGCAGACAGCAGTAAAGGATTCATCCTTGTGCAGCAGTTGATGAACTGGAGAAATGCTCAGAGCTTCTGCAGAACAAATCACATGGATCTGAGCAGCGTGAGGAAGCAGAGTGAGAACCAGCAGATTCAGCAGCTCATGAGCACTGGAGGAGTCACTGCCGTCTGGATCGGTCTCTTCAGAGACTCATGGGAATGGTCCGATAAGAGTACATCCTCGTTTAGAAACTGGGCACCCCCTGAACCCCAAAGCACTGAAAATGCCACAGTGCTTGTGATAAGTGGATCAATAAGAGGTCAATGGGAGGACTGGCCTTGTAATACACAATTTACTTTTGTCTGTCAAGAAGGTAAGTCAATGCTTAGACTTGTATGTGTAAAATGAGAGAACGTCATCAACCAAAATCTCAAATGTCCCTTCCAGATCAGTTTATACTCATCCAGCAGAATCTGAGCTGGAGTGAAGCCATGACGTTCTGCAGACAGAATCACGTGGACCTGGTGTCGGTTCCCAGCGCTCAGATTGAGCGGCGGGTGATGAGCGTGGCAAAAAGAGCCTCGACGGTGGCCGTGTGGATGGGCTTGCATCACTACTGCAGCATGAACATGTGGCTGTGCGGTGAGGTGGTCTGTTATCAGAACTGGGCCGCGGGGAACAGCACCGGACCGCACGACTGCCGCGAGCGGAGAGTCGGAGCCATTCAGTCATCTGGAGATCAGCACTGGGTTAGCCTTCCTCCGACCATCAGGCTCAATTTCATCTGCACCAACTCTGAGCCTTGAGTGTCTGTTTTATATCTAAACTACTTAATCTTAACCCTCATAATCATTCATTTGTTTTCATATTCTTTTTTTTTTTTTTTTTCAAATTTTTAAATAATTTTTTTAAGTGATATAACCATTAAAAAATGTTACAGGTTTCGCTTTATGTCATTGTGACGCGAGCATTTAGGAGTACCATTAGGTGTCAAAAATACTGGTCAAAGATTTAATTGGAATCAAATTCACAAAAACACTCAACTGAATCGTTTTGTTGTTAGCAAGCTCATTAGGGTGGCCCTTATTTTTTGACTTTTTAAATATTCTGCTCTACACTCTCCTTAATGAGAAATGGAAACAAACCAAATTTCGCTGAGATTGGACTAGGTTTGGGGTGTACTCAACAAAGTTGAAATTCTGTCTTAATGACCATAACAGCATGTAATTAATAATTATTCAAAACCATTAGTAAACTGTAAATTAGGTTAAAAATAAGAAAACCGAACAATGTGGTTAGTGTTAAAGTGTTAAATTATGTTTATTTGTGCCGATAGCCTTGTGGGCTGTGTGCCGTTGCACTTCAGGCGTCCCGAGTTTGAGTCCCGGCTCGTGGACTTTTTCTGATCCTGTCCCCTTCTCTCTCTCACTTTGCTTCCTCTCCACTTACTATCCTATTGAAATAAAGGCATAAAACATCAAAAATAAAATATTTAAAAAAGTTACATTACAACACTGCTGATGAGAACCGATCTTTGAAAAATTGCAATCTGATCTAGATCGTGATGACAATCCGACATGCTTCAGCCGCAGAAACTGAAAACAGATTCCGTTGCTCTCTGACAATCTGCATGATGAACTGTGCTTGTTCTTCAGTCTTTGAAAGGAGTCCGTTGTACTCTTGGATACACCTCTTTCTTGCATTTGCATTGTTTGCCCAGGGACCATGATCTTCATTTAGGAAGAATAACAAAGAAGTTGCAAGTATTGTGCCATTATCGTGACATTTTGCCAAGTTTCGTAACCCATACTCAGAATTTCTGCTCTGTATTTAACCAATCCACCAACCCATGCACAAATACAGTAGTGAATACACACACACACACACCATGAACACACCAAATGGAGCAGTTGGGATTCGGTTCTTGCTCAAGGGACCTCAGTCGTGGTTACTGAAAGTGGAAGAGAGCGCTGTACATTCACTCCCCCCACCTATAATTCCTGCTGATATTTAGAATCGATTCCACGACCTTCGGGTTACAAGTCTGACTCTCTAACCATTAGGCCATGACTGCCCCTTATCTCTGATATCAGAAACAGTCAAAATTTTATCAGTGAACAAAAACGTTGCTAATATCACCAATCAGCTCTTGAAGTACCTGTTGATAAAAAGATACATTCTTTGATCACACCCTAAATTACCAATTATCTGGATGGAATACATTACTAACTTCTCGTGGAGAAGCAAATGGGGGGGTGAGAGGCTAACATTTACAAAATAAATAAATAAAAAATTACCCCCAATAAGGGCCACCCTAATGCTCATCCATATTTTCTACAGTCTAGTACTAGCCGCTACATCATCATTTCATCGTGAAATTAGCAGAAATAAGTGAAAATATTTGTCATTTATGTATTTACTCTCCAGCCGAGGATGAAACTGTTTTCCATGTTGAAGACATCCATCATGAATCTACTATTTAGCGTACTTATTTATTCCCTATATGTGTCTGATGTAATGACAAAAGCAACAGCTGTGGTTAAGTAATAAGACCATTAAAAAATGACTGTACATTGTGTAACTATTAATACTATTAATACTAACAATTAAAACTATTAGTGTAACATGGGGTTTTGGTTTTGTTCCTTGTTCCTTGTTCATTTTTTCTTGTCTTTTATTTTGATATTTTGCCTTGTCATAGCTCCTGTCTAGTCATGTGATTCCCTTGCCCTCATGTTTTCCTGCTATTGGTTCTTTGGTTCATGTGTCATGTTCTCATTGGTTGGTTCTTGTCATGTGACCTGTATTGTTTGATATAAAAGCCCTCATGTAGCCTTTAGGCTTGTTCGACTTCATGCAGCGCCGCAAAGATCGGCTGCCGTCGCCTTACGATCACATGTGCCCTCAAAGTACCGCAAGAGCAAAACGAGACCAGCCGCCGAGGTCAGGCGCTGCAGTTGCTCAAAATCGACTGCAAGAGCCTTGATGACAACACACTTTATTCTCATTGGTCAGATTCTGCGATGACAAGCATGACGTGTTGCGTGTTTCTTCTAACAATTCAATTCCAATAATGCTCACAAATCTGTGTTTTTATTACAGCAAAAGCTTTCTTAGTGTAAACATTTCTGTGTATTTGACAAATATTACATTTAATTCACTTTATCTGTGATAAGACTATGCAAAAATCGTGAGAGCGTCATTACCTGGAGCAGAAAGTGTCCGACTTGACGTCTCCAATTTTAATTCCGCCCCGACTGCAAGCGGCTGCTCTCGCCAGCCAGTGGCAGGCTAGTATAGTTAATCTCGAACAAGCCTTTTGTCTCTTGTTGAGTATTGATGTTGTAACCTGCTGTCTGTGAGTCTATAGTATGTTCATGCCAACCAAGTCAAGTCTGTTCATGCCAAGGCTGTTCATGCCATGCCAAGTCAAGTCTGTTCATGCCAAGTCAAGTCTGTTCAAGTCAAGTCTTTGTTTGTATTTTGGATTGCTTTGAATAAAAGCTGCACTTGGGTTCATCACAACTCGTTTGTTTCAGTTAGTCAGTCAGTAAAATTAAATGACCATTAATTTTAAACTACAGACAGGAGAAAGCGCAAGCAGTAAATAAAGATACAAACAAACCCAGGTGTTTATGATTTATATGCTTTTAATACATTTCTACAATTTATTAAAAGCTTACTTCAGACATGAAATTCTTCAAAATATAATTTATTACATATTAAACATTTAAGCATTAGAATAATCTCTCTATTGGTCATCACAAAAGCATCTGCAACGTTTTAATTAGTTAACATGGTTATAAAAAATAAAACAAAATAACCTGCTGGGAACATTCTGGGAAAGTTCTATTTAGGTCATAAAATAACCTACAGAGAACGTTCTTAGAACATTTTTATTTGGTTCCCAAGAAAATAACCAAATGGGAACATTAGGGGAATGTTCTGTTTCGTTCAAAATTGGAATTTAGCCATGTCTTTAAATCACTGACACACATAGATAGCGATGTGGTCTGGTGGATAGAATCTGGATGGCAAGCAGTATATATCTGAATATCATCAGCATAACAGTGATAAGGAAAACTACAATGATAAATAATATGTCCAAGAGGCATAACGTAAATAATAAACAGTAATGGGCCAAGAACAGAGCCCTGGGGAACACCCTGAAGAGCAGTGGGGGATTTATAATTGTGCAAAGCAATGTAGTATTGTCTATCTGTAAGATAGGAAGAGAACCAGGATAGTGCAGCACCTGAAACACCTATCTCTGAAAGGCGAGAGAGCAATAACTTGTGACAGACAGTATCAAATGCTGAGCTGAGGTCGAGTAATAGGAGAATGGAAAGATTACCTGAGTCACCAGAAAGTAAGAGATCATTGACAATCTTTACTAAAGCAGTTTCATTACTGTGATGTGAGCGGAAACCTGATTGAAATATGTCAAACTGTTCATTGAGAGCTAAATAGATGTAACGAGCAATACAAATAACAAATTAACTTCCTTTTGCCAGTAGCTATTATTCTAAATACAAACAAATGTATTGTGCATTGGCTTATTTAAAATAAGAATAAAAAGAGAATATACAAATAAATCCTTCCCAGAAACAAATATTAATCGAAACAATAGAAGCTAAAATTAAACAATACTCTTATTGTTTGGATAAAAGCATCAGCCAAACACATGAATGTAAATGCATTGTGCTGAAACTGGTTTATAATCTCAGTTATTGTCAGTTGATTTAAAGTGTTTGGAGTTTTTTGTTGTTTCCCAGTAAATAAGACAAATATCTGTGTTAAGTGGATTTTTGGACGTATGGTTTTGTCCAGTTTTAATTTTCTGTTTTGACTGTTTTGCTGTTGTTTTTCAAAGATGTGATGTGTATCTGATTCTGGTTCTCATATGCGCTGGTTTTCTGATGTGTGCTGATGAAGTTCACAGTGATTGATTTGTCTGTCAGGACAGTGAGTTTGGTTCTTTTATGGAGTCTCTGCTCATGTTTTCTGTATCAATTCCGTTTTTGTCTTGAGTTTCAGTTTGTAATTTGTTCAGAAAACAAAACTTCCTTTTATCATTTTACTTCTCAAGTAAATGAATCATTCAGAATAAAAAGTGTTCTGAGGAATCTCTGTTGTCCAGTCTCATTAAATTATCAACACAACGCAGATTGAAGGTCCAGACCGGTCACATAAACAAAGGCTGAAAATGAACATATCTTGATTTTCTCTACACATGCAGACAGCAGTACATTCATGCTTTTACCATGTCACAAAAGACTTTCTTTGTGCTTATATCATCATTTGTATATCTCTCCTTTACATCAGTGTCCAATGAATGAGTCTTTGTTGATGTGATGACATGAGCCGTGTGTTTTTTAGTCTAAAGCTGCTGTGTGAAAGATCTCTGATGTGCTTTCTTGATCAATGTGGAGTCATGTTAATGGTCCTGTGAGTGGCCTATCTCAGTTTTTGTGTTCTTTTTAGTTTGTCTTATTTTATCTTATCTTATTTTTATTAACTTTTTGCCGTTTATATTTACCACCAGTGAGGAACAGTGAATGTGAAAGTTCTGGAGAGAGTTTTTGTGCCTCATTGTGATGGGACAGTGAGCTCGGAAGTCTCTAATAACTCTAATTTCTTTCATACAGTCCACAAAGTAAAGACTGGAACCTCAGTTGGAGCAGCATTTGAGATCTGTGGTGAAGGGGAAGGTTAATGATGCAAATGCATTCTGTTCTTTACAAAGAACTATTGCACGGCTCCAGAAGACTTGTAATACACTTTTGTCAAACATCTTTTTTGACTT